GCATTTCAAAACCCGTCTGTGACACCTAGTGGTAATTTCTCATGTATTGCTCTGGAACAGCCTAAAGTTACACGAATTGAGGTATTAAACCCCACATTGTAAAATTGAAGTTTCAAGTGATTTAGTAAAGCGATGAGAGTTCCTGACTAGCATGCCGAAATAATAGGTAGATAAATTATTAAAATTCGTGTCATTTGTAGCACAGTTACTCTGAGTACGCCACTAGCCTATGTGAGATAGTGTTTTATTTGACCGTCAAATAAACGCATATTCACCAGGTCTCGAAACGCTTCTGTAATGACCAATGCTTTGAATCGCTTTAGTAACATGACATGGTGTATCGAAACACATGAGTCCCGTAACCTGAGTGTTTCGAAACACTTGTGCTTTGGAATCTCGACACTGTGTCGAAACGTCAATTTCACATCAGCCATCTCCAGCTTGAAACACTGAAACAGTCCAAGCAAATGTGTCGCAGCTCCAAAACTTTTCAATACCCACCTCTACAGTGACACCAAGTGGTCATTTTTATGTATTGCTCTGGAACAGCTTCAGCAAAGAAACAGTTACACAAATTTAGATATTAAACCACACGTTGTAAAATTGAGGTTTCAAGTGATAAAGTGAAGCGTTGAAAGTTCCTGACTAGAATGCCAAAATAATGGGTTCGAATGCAGGGTGATGGAACTATAGATGTTTTTATGTTTTGTTTTAACATTGGCCTGACATCTATATGAACACTTTGTTCATACAAGACATGTGAATAAACATGTCTTGTTTTGGTCAAAAAAAAATGAACATTATTGAAATACATTAAGTCATAATTTCAGAGTATTTGTACAAATCTGGATTTGACCTTGGGTAGTTTGCAGCACAGTTACTCTGTACACACGAACGGTCCACTGGACTACATAAGTTTTTTTACCGACCCTGTCAGTCAAACGCAGATTTGCCAGGTATCGAAATTCTTTTGAAAGGACCAATGCTTTGAATTGCCTTAGTCATGTGACCTAGTATTTCGAAACACTTTGGTCACGTGACCTGGGTGTTTCAGATCATGATTTAGTGTTTCGAAACACTTGTGCTTCAGGAACCCAACACTGTGTCGAAATGTCAGTTTCACGTCAGCCATTCCTACTTTGCTGAGTACTTTACTATTTTCTGTTGAATAAACTGCGTGTAAATCCTCAACTCTGCTGTACTCCAACTCCATCTGTTACAGAATCACTTTTCAATCCATCTATGATTGTCTGTGATAGTATATTTCATAACACTGAATCAAAATTAAATGTACCATCATAAAATTACAGAATTCTCCTGTTGGGCAAGTGTTTGCCTTGGACAACACAGCTTCCACAATTTACAAGCAAAGAAGAGTCTAAAACACAAGCTACACTATAGGTGAAGAAACTGCCCTCGCCAGGGTTTTTAACAGTAAATGCAAAATTGAAGTCTCTGGTTGTGTTCCATTAGCTTTTGCAATCTGCTACACTGACATAAGACACAGATGGTGAGGAATAGATGGGAATATCCATCATCGTTCCACTGCTATAACGCTCTAAATGACACCAGAACACCAGGCTATGGCCCATTTCAGAGAGATCTGAACAGAAAACCGTGTTAAACTGGTCAAGTGGAGACATAAAAGCTGTTTAGTCAAGGTCAAATATAAGAGCGCTGTGTGTTTAACACTAATATAAAGTTAATTAAGAAGAAACGCACTTTGTTTATGCCTTAATTAGTGAAAGATGACTCATTAGCCAAACAAGCATTGACACTGGTTTAACATTTACCGCAGCTCAACAACAACAACAATCCACAAGAACTTAATTGCTACATGAAAAAAGGAGCAGATGCACCAAAGCTATTAACAAAATAATTCATAATATTGAAAATTTAGTCTAAATGTTTCAAATCTTTTCAAGGAACCATGTTACATTGAGATTTTTCTCCCAACATTATAAATGTTGCCAGTAAAAACTGTTTTGTCTGGACAGTTTAAATTTATGAATGCTTTTCTATTTATATAATCACACAAAATGTCTACCTTAAGATATTCCTGTCAAAGCATGATCTGGATTTGATTTTTTTTTTTTTTTTTTTTTTTAGATAAATTTTCATGGAAGACAATACTTTTTCATTGATTCAAAACAAAATGAAAAAATCTGTCATCCTTATTTACCCTTGTGTCCATCAAAACCCTTACGAATTTCATTTATTTTCAGCACATACTGTAAACAAAGATTTTTTATAACAAAATCTAATAGGTTCCTGAATGTCCACGGAAGGTTTTTTTTTATCAAAAAATCATAAATAAACTCATATATATTAAGTGGATGGATCCAATACAAATGTAAAAACAAATTGTAATTTAAATTTTTATTCCCAGAAAGTATAAACACTGATCATAAAACAATGTTTATAGCATTCAAATTAGTTTTATGAAAAAAGAAGCATCTCTTAAATAAGCATCAAATCTGTTGATCAAATAAAATGATTGTGTCTGTTCAGAAGACTGATGAATTCATTTGGGTTTTTAAAAATCTTTTTTAATGGACTTTAAAGAGAGGGGCGGTCATTTCTCCGACTCCATTAAAAATCTTCATTTGTATTCTGAAGACTAATGAACATCTTCTGGGTTTTAGAACCATATTAGAGTGAATACATGATGACAGTTTTCATTTTTAGGTGAAACCTAACCTTTGTTTCTGAAGACAACTGCTAAAAATTGTACACAGACCTCAGGAGTCAACAGATAAACCTAACCTACATCAACAGCTCCCACACAGTGAGAACCTGAAGTAAACAAGTCACAACAAACACGACATCAGCAGACAGCAAAACAATAATCCTATCACAGTAAACACATAATTTATTCATGCAATGGCTGTTGGAGGAATAACATTTGGTGTGATATCTATACTGCTGTTCAAATATACAGACACTTTTTTCAAGTCTATATACAGTTGAGGTCAGAATTTTTAGCCACCCTGAATTATTAGCCCCCCCTGTTTAATTTTTTCCCCAATTTCTGCTTAACAGAGAGAAGATTTTTTTCAACACATTTCTAAACATAATAGTTTTAATAACTCATTTCTAATAACTGATTTATTTTATCTTTGCCATGATGATGGTAAATAATATTTTCTAGAAAATTTTCAAGACACTTCTAAATAGCTTAAAGTGACATTTAAAGGCTAAACTAGGTTAATTAGGTTAACTGGGCAGGTTAGGGTAAATAGGCAAGTTAATGTATTATTATGGTTTGTTCTTTAGACAATCGGGGAAAAAAAGCTTAAAGGGGCTAATATTTTAGTCCTAAAATGTTTTTTAAAAAATTTTAAATTTGCTTTTATTCTAGCCGAAATAAAACAAATGATACTTTCTCTAGAAGAAAAAATATTATCATACATGCTGTGAAAATTTCCTTGCTCTGTTAAACATCATTTGGGAAATATTTAGAAGACAAAAATAAATTCAAAGGGGGACTAATAATTCTGACTTCAACTGATATTTATGTATTTATAATATTTATATATATAGATACATGTGTATATATATTATTTTGATAAAATATCTTTACTTTTGACTTTAGTCCTTAATGACCTTAATGATTTCACTTATAAAACATTTAAAAAACTTTACAGTGCCCCAAATTTTTAATGCTACGGTATAAATGTTTCTACTCAATCTAGTTAATTTCTAGTTTTTAAAATCCAAACACTAATTATCAGGGCTTGACATTAACTCCCACCAACCCACCAAATGCTGGTAGATTTTTATCTGTGGTAGGTTGAATATAAATTTTAGATTTATTTAATTTTTTCTTCTAAGTCACATGAAATAAAAAAAGAACTGCAATGGATCCACAACTGCCATGAGCAATCCCTGCAACCCAGTGTCTGCTCATGCGCACTATTGAGCAACATCATACACAACAAAAAAAAAAGGTAAATGAACCACCGATGTCTCATCTGCTGGGCAGAGTGGCCCTGTTTGCTCAAATATTTTATCCCATGACAATCTGGGCCAGTCAGATTCATAAAGGTATAATTTTCCACTGTGGTGCTAATAACAGAACTCTTTGGAATATGATACAAATGCGTCAGTTGTTGCTTTGGTAATGCAAGTGTAAATGTAAACAGTGATATGGAAGGTGATCTTATATATTTTTGTTTTTGGGACTTTTTCAGATATTTATTTGGTTACATATCAGCAAATTTTCCACCTGGACAGATATGGAAAATCTGCAGTAATGCAGGTGGTGGTAACATTGTATGTTCAATAAGTCGAGCACAATTATCTAAACAGTTGTCTAGCATGTCGATCAAACGGGTGAAGATGGCTTCACTAAAAGATAGTGTGGCAGTGAATTTAATTGGCCTCATGAAGTACGCTGAGCTCCAGTAGATGAATGTTGGAAAGACAGAAAAAAAAGGACTTAATCAAAGTAGTCCTATGAGAAAAGGTTTTAGGTCAACTTAAATAAAACCCTTGACGTTTTGATTCACTTCAAATGTTGACTACTTTAAACAAGATGGTGTACCAGCATGTATATCAATATTTGGGTTGAGGGATTTTTAATGGCATAAATCACGCAAAATTACTTTAAAGTAATTTTAGCATAGCAAACTTAAATTTAAGCACATAAAATATTTTTTTCCAACAGCAAAATTGTGAATATTGAAAACAAAGAGTGGCTAGTAACTTTGAATCATTACTTGCCACCATGGATGGTGAGCAAAAAAGTTAATGTCAAGCCTTGCCAAAAATCCACATAAAACATATTTTTTCTCTTTTTGCAATGTAGATACATAAACAGCCAACAGGAATGAAGGCGATTTCCTTAAAAACAGCTGAATGGGAAGTCATTTCTATGTTCCCTTTGGCCAGTAATCTGTCTGAAATGGCTTCAGGCACAAATGCTGAGCCCATACAAGCTTCTGAAACTATGAATACATCACAACGGTGGCTAATAGAACAGTGCATTAGCTTCTTACCCCAGAGGCTTTTCCAGACGACTGCCTGGTGAACCCACTATCTCACCCAGAGTGCAGAAGGTCTGACCCAAGAAGTCCTACAGAAGGACGGCCCAAACAAAAAGACGGCGAACAAAAGAAGGCAGAGAAAGTAAAGGAGAGATAGCAGAATGAGTCAGGGTGGAACTTGGTATAAATGAGTTGTACCGGTAAAGAGATAAGTCTAGGAGTGCAAGGCAGAGACGTACGTTGAAATCGGAGGGCTTCCAGGAGGGAGGTGAGGCCGCAAATTTAACAATAACAACAGAGCATATCATGTAACAGAAAAGACAAAAAAAAAAGAAATAAAAACGAATTGAAGAAGTCAGGCCGAAGAGGATAGGAGAGAAAAAACGAGAGTTAGAGAATAGTGAGAAAGGATTCTGGAGAAGAGAGAAAGGAAAAAAACACCCACGATGATCACAGATTACACACACAAAAAAATAAGATAATAGCACTGAAAACTGAAAATGATCACATTTACTTACACAACACATTCGGATGGTTCTATACAAAATCAGAATTTCATAAACTGCACCCATTGAGGGTTGTTTATTTTCACTCTGCAAATGTTTTGGAACTGGTTTTATTAAATGCAATTATCCAAATATAATATAAATACAAAAACTGATGAAAAAAACAAAACCTATTATTTTCAATTTCTCTAAAACGTGTGTAACAAAGTAATATTAATAATAATAATAATAATAATAATAATAATAATAATAATAATAATAATAGTTATTATTATTATTATTATTATTATAGTTGTATTATAATAATAATTATTATTATTAATAATAATAACAACATTATTATCAATAAAACAAAAAACATAACTTGCCACACATTTTAAAAGTCTATTTAACAAATAAAACAGGTTTTTATCAAAAAATAATGAAAACTGAAAAAACTGCCAGCCCAGAAGTGTTAAGTAAATTCATCCTTCAGTTTCTTGTCAAGATATATAATTAACAAGTTTTTTGTCATAATAATAGGGAACAAACTGTCTTAACCCAAGCAACACAGGCACACTGCAGAGAACATTCAGAACCTGTGTAATGGTGCTAATTTTATTCGTCAAAGAGGGAAACTACACCCCTTTTGATCATAACATAAATGATGACATGATTTGCAATCATTTTTCGATTGCATAAAACCAACCGAAAAATCAACAACTACGCATGCCAAATATGAGAGCAACTGGCAATGAAAACAACAAACGTGCATGTACACACAAGCAAACATGCATGCATTCACAGTATACACACACATACAAAGTGCTACACTTACGTGTTTGGCCAAATCCGGACTTTTGGAGTCAATGTCATATCTGAAATCCAAGAGAACAGCCTCAGTTTTCTGTTGGATAATGGCGTGTCCTATATTTTAAATGACAGCCCCGTTATGTGTTATGGAGAGGAATGCTCTACAATCCTCACATTAATTGATCTGAGATTCTTGAAGATCGGAATATTTTGCTCTCTTGAAAGAAAACTCAACTGGCAATAAAAATGAATGTTCGTCCTATTTTTTAAATTATTGTTACAAATGGGGTCCCCTAATTTCCAATGCATAAAGTGCGAAATCACCGAATTCAGTCATTTATTAGCTGTATAACATGGAAAACTAGGTCTAGTACAAAGAAAGGAAGGCAAAGGAAAGGAAAGGGTAAAATGAAGGGAAAGGAAAGAAATAAAAGGAAAGGAAGGGACAGGAAAGTCATGCGTTTTCGCTGTGCCGCTCTAAGGTGTTTACACTCTATGGTTCATAATAGTTGTGTGGGACTGTGGGGGAGATTTGATTTGCGTTCTTTAAACTAAATTCTCTTTTTTCCTCGCTTTTCTGTATTTGTTGTGATTTGTACATTTGTTTGTCATATGTTAGATTAGTCAATAAATCCCGCTATAACCACGCTTCTATTGTCTTCGTTTTGCCTCACAGAAAAGGTCACTTTCAAAGTAAAAGATTGCTACAGCTTCAAAATGATTCATCTACTTCACAAGAAGCAGTTATAATTTTCTTTCTAAATAAATAAATAATTACAGTCCGCTTACACAACCGGGTGAAGTCAATGTTATATTTATTTTGTTAATTTAACTATAAGTTAATTCTGAATATTCATAATAAATAATAACCTGTTGGTGATATTACTGATATTATTAATTTCGCTACAAAGGAAAGGAAATATAGAAAAGTACTGAGGAATTACATTTCATCTTAAATAAGTACTGTAAGTAAATAATAAGACAGACAGAAAGTAAATTGAAAAATACAGAAGGAATTAGTAAATTAACATTAAAAGGAAAGGGTAAAAGATAGGGAAAGGAATGTAAAGAAATGGAGAGGAAAGGAAAGAGTAAAGGGAAAGGAATGGAAAGGAAGCAATGCAGCAGAGTACTGAGAAAATACATGTAATCTTAAGACCACCCTTAGTCCACATTTAAATTCTTGCGGCTGTGAAATGAGAGTGGAAGTGAAGTTCTGAGGCGCAGCTGGTTGTCTGTGAATATTTGCAATGGCATAATCGGGAATTGGCATAAACGTGGAAGGTTTCTTGGTGAACCCTTCAATTAAGTCCAGGGTTGCACCGCAGAAGCCCTTTTTCAACTCAGCAGAGCCCATTTAAGAAGGTGAATGAGAGCAAGACGGACAGTCTGCCACAGGGATTGGAAGAACACGCTGTAAATCATCCGGGGATCCTGCGTCACGCATTGGCTTTTGAGCGGCTGCGTGAAGATTGAGGATAAAACTCATCTGAAATATTTATCACCCTTTCACTGATCCAGCCCCTTACACATGACTGTCAAGAGAGAGAGATGCTGCATCAATAATTACCAAAGAGGAGGTGCTGGGAGAGATAGAGAAAGAGACAAACAGAAAGAGCGGAGTGGGACAGCTCATCGAGAGAGAGAGAGAAGCAGATTCCTGTGTGTCAGCATCAAAGGGAATAACTCACATGTCAAAGCGCAGATTCTGCTTCTCCTCAAAGAAATAGTCCAAGATGTACTTTCTCACAAAGTCTGGGTTCAGGGTGTTGTCGATGACTTCAGTTCTCCCAAACTACACAAAAAAAGAGAGAGAAACAGCTATATTAAGATTAAAATATCTATATTATGGCTACAGACAAGTCTACATTACTGTTCAGTTCGTTAACTGCTGGTTTCTGTGAGTCCATAGCCTTAAGAAAAACTGGGACAGGAAGCGATGATATTTTGAGAGGTGAAGTGTTTCTGCAACTAATGAACAACAGCAACCCCTGCTCGCTGTGTGTGTGTGCGCGTGTGTACATGTTTGCATGCAAATGAAGAGTACACAAGTAATAAATATTCAAGAATATTCATGAGTTCAGGGCTCCGAGAACACATGCTTGGGATGTCACTTTAATGACAATCTATTCATCCACCTTCAGTACTGTAAACAACTGTGATTTTTATGCTAATGTAAAAATAACAGTTGGGCACCAGTTTTCTGTCTAATACAGGAATGCAGCCATAATCAACCCTCTTCAATACATTCCTAGAGTAACATCCAAGGTTATTATAGTTAACAAAAACGAACATCATTCATTCATTCATTAATCTGGGGTCACCAAAGCAGAAAGAACCGCCAAATTCTCCAGCATGTGTTTTACACAGACAATTTTAGCTTACCCAATTCACCTACGTATATCACGTCTTTATACTGTGGGGGAAACCGAAACACCAAAAAGAAACCCACGCAATCACGGGGAGAACGTGCAAACTCCACACAGAAATGACAATTGACCCAGCCTAGGCTCGAACCAGCAACCTTCTTGCTGTGAAGTGATCTTGCTACCCACTGCGCCACAGTAATGCCAACAAAACTGAACAAAAAATTTAAACTAGAAAAACATTTTCTTTAACTGAAACAAAAATAAAAACGTTTTTTTTAAAGAACTAACTGAAACTGTTTTGTGTACTCACAAAACAAACTGAAACTAACTGAAATTATAGCAAAAACATCCTTCGATTTCGTCTTTGTAAATGTATTTAATACAGACTGTTACCCTTTTAGAATCTACAGAATTTACTTGGCGCTGCCAGGTGTTTGACCCTTATGTTTGGCATCTCAGAGTCAGTAATCCTAAAGCCATTGGCCATACCAAGCCGGTTCCCCTCCAGTCATCCTCACTGTTGCTCCCATGACAAAAACAACAGCTGGACATAAGAGCAGCACGGTAACAGCATTAAATATGGCCCGAGGAGAAACTTATAAGTATCAATTTAACACCTTTGTGCCCGATAATGGGTTTTACTTCTGTATTAGTGGTTGCGATTGTGAACAAATCTGAATCTTCTACAATAAGTGTTCTGGTTGAACTAATTCATCAATTGAATCATTTGAATTTATTCACGTCTTAAATAACATTAAGCACTTATCCACGTACAACTTACTTTACCTCTGACTCGAAATAAACCAATATATATTGAGTTATTCAGTTATTAAAACAGTACACAGCGCATGCATGAATCAGTGAACCGAACCGAACACAAACAGTACTTGACAGCTTAATGTGACTGAACTAAACTTAAACAACTGCAGTATGGGTAAACTAAGGGCTAACATGAGAGGATCTGGCAAAACATAAGTTTATTTCATAACAGTAAAATGTAATGCAATTAAAATAAGTGAATCATGCTACAGATTTGTTGCAAAACGTAATTGTAAAAAAACTTTTCAGATCATGGTGATGTTCTAACTGACTGAAATTATGATTGCTGACTACATATTCTTGATATGTTGAGTCCAAACTATGGAAGATTGTCACAAAACAAATATAGCTTATCTTTAGTTGAGTTTTTTTTATACAATACTCTGATGTTTTTGAATCTTGCATGTAACAAACATCCTAAATTACAAACAAAAAACTAAAACTAACACTGAAACTAATAAAAACTAAAATAAAACTAAGCAAATTCAAAACATAGAAACTAATAAAAACTAGTGAATCTAACTCTAATACTAAATAAAACTAAATTAATTTGAAAACAAAAAGTCAAAACGAAATAAAAACTAAAACTAATGAAAAATCCAAAGCTATAATAACATTGGTAATATCATCTAAAAAAAAGTCTTCAATTAACTGTTGACAAAAGCTTTTCTTTATAAACAGCATATGTATAAATGTTTTGAGTATAAGGGAAGAAGGAAAAGAAAGAGGAAGGGTAAAGGTAAACGGTAAAGTGAAGAATGAAGGGGGAAGGGAAATAGGAAATAGAAAAGGTGAAGAGGAAGGGTAAAGAAAAGGGAGAAAGGGAAAATAATAGGAAAGAGTGACAGGGAAAGGGGTAAGGGGGAGCGGAACGGGAAGGAGAAAATGTAAAGGAAGGAGTGAAGAGAAGAGAAGAGAAGAGAAGAGAAGAGAAGAGAAGAGAAGAGAAGAGAAGAGAAGAGAAGAGAAGAGAAGAGAAGAGAAGAGAAGAGAAGAGAAAAGAAGCCTGTTGTTTCAGCACTGTATTCTTGAAAGATGCTCTGCAGTCGCTTCCCTCAGCTAATTGTGTTTCCCATGAATAATTAAACAAGATGAGGCAGATGAGAAATGCATAAATAAATGAATCACCAGAAGGGTGTTACAACATCCCAGCCGTGCAGAAATGAAGGAGACAGCTTATGAGGGAGAAGGGAATGATAAGGTGCTTTAAACATACTGTAAAGACCATCCCACAGCGCTCCGGTTTCATAATAGTCGATTATCTTAAAAACATCCAGTGTAATATATTGCTAATGTTTGAAACATATCTGTCTGATATCCTCTGCCGTAGTTTAGAGATGCATAAAATCATTAAGAGGCCATTTCTAAATGACCAGAGCCACAATCATCACAACTTAATAGAAGTAAAATTTGACTGACTTTAAATGTTAATGCTTAACAGGAGTGACTAACATTCTCAAGAAAAGCTCTGTGATAGCAGAGCTCAGTCATTAGCATTCAAAACATAATGCTTTATGTACTGCTAATACGACCTCACAGTCTGACTTCTCATCATTTCAGCAGCTGCTATAAATCATTTTGTTGGCCTGCTGCAGTTTATAAAGCCATAAAGCCTTTTTACTGTTTGTCATATGGTGCATTATTCTGCAAGAATCTCACTGGTTTCTAGCAACCTTTTTTTTGTCAAAATTCCTTTTCGAGCAAAAATCCCATTGGTGAGAGCAGAGATGCAAAGAAATGCTTTTAAGTTAAATCGCCAAACTGCTTCTAAAAGAGCTTTACCTCCTGTTGAGTGTTAAAGCGGCAACCAAAGCACAGCGAAAAACAGGGTGAAACATTTTGTCCAGACTGTTACTGTGCAAAACAAAAAGACAGAACCCACCAGGAGCATTAGCACAAGGTCAAATTCTGAAATTAAGTTACAAATGAAATACAACATTGTCTTATTTTGGTTCGAGACAAGAGACTGGAAAAAAATGATGTGCAAGAGCAGATAAATCACCTTATCCAAAACATAATAAGCCTACAACCATAGGTGAGTATAATTATCATGTGTTCTAAGTGCTGCACTCAATAATAGGGAAGCATCTACCCTCACTTTCTCATTACAGATAAAAATCTGGTCTTTTTTATGAACAGCTTTGGATATTACCGCTCTTAACGGCAGTCCACACCAAAAACAACTTCTACTATATGATTATTGTGACAAAGACTTACATTTTTGGAATTATTTTCACTATTTCTTACACCTGATGGACGATAAAAACTGAAAGCCTATGAAACCCAATAAGCATGAAACCAAAGGTAATGGGGAAAAAGAAGGGGGAAAAAATAGAAAAGAACATTAAAGCTTTAAGGGTCATGAAACCCTTGAAAAAAAAATTTTCAACAGATTTATGCCTGTTGAACATTAGAATCTGTAGCTGTTATTGTTCAGAACAACTGGTTAATTTTAAAACTTGCTCCACATATTTGGTTTAAAGGGGACCTATTTTACTGTACCCCTTTACTCCTAAAGATCTTTATCCCAAGATTTAAGATGAGTCTTTTGTGTCTTCAGAATGTGTTTGTAAAGTTTCAGCTCAAAACACCCATCAGATTTATTATACCTTTCATAATATTGGAATTTTCTGCTTTAAACACAATATAGCTGTTTTTGTTGCTTGTGCATTTAATGCTGGTTCTCCCTGCCCACCGTTCCCACGTGCCTGTCAGAGTGTGCCTCAATCTCTGCCTCGACTGCGTCAGATAAACAGCACAGTGACAGACATGAAGGAAACAAATTTTATGTAACGTTTGTGAGAAATACTTCAATAAGATCTTTCCCAATGATTATTTGATGGATTTGTTGTGGAGTTGCAACGATGAGTCTTACACAATGTCATTATAAAGTTCATGCGCACACACACACACACACACACACACACACAGACAACGAACACACACATAACACATTAAACACACACATGTTTAACTTTGCACTGTTTTAGCACGCCAAATGTGACAGGATACACATTAATATCCACTGCTATATGGAAATCCGTAATGGTAGTGTACAAAATAAACCTGATTTATTGTCCACAAACCTGGATTAAAGCGTCTTCTTTAATAATTGTACTGACATGCAGCTGTGGTGATAAAGGCAGTGAAATCGCTGTAATTCATGACAAACATGCACTGTTTAAAAAAAAATCTATAAAATCTTTTAAATTTATAACACCCATTCTTGATCACATTTAATGATGATTGTTGATCACAGCAAACTCAACAAATCTTTTATTCAAAGTTGCTTTGAGCACATCCTGTCTTGTGGATATGATTACACATGTTACTACAGACACATGTTAATCAATTCGGTGGGTGTGGAAATCGTTTTTTTTTCTCAGGATTTTTTAAAAAAGTGACTTATTGTCTTTATATCACCCCAAAATGACTGTGGACACACTACACCTGCACACAGTTCTGTCTAAGCAGCTTCCAAAAGATGATTTTCATCATAGGTGGCCTTTAAACGCAATATCAAGATGTCGTCACTGGTGGTGACATAGCATTGTTAGTACTTCAATGACGTGTCAGTGTCTAATTATTATGGGACTGAGCTTTATTATCCTATTAAATAACACTGTGAATTATTTTGTCAAGTTGTGAGACTAGGCATTATTTAGGTATTCATGATGGGTCACTGTGATAGCAGTGCTGTCAGATGTATAAACTTCTATAAGTATGTACTGAAATATAAAAAATGTGAAAGTAGCAGCATTTCCTATTTACATTTTGAGCACTGCTAACTCTATCAGCTGATCTATCTGCAGATTGACATGACTTTTAAATGAGTTGTTGGAATCAGTTTCAGACTGTTTTCTTGCAGCTGATGATTAGTAACGTTTAATTTAAAAAATATATATTTTGGCCTTAAACTTAATCTGGCTCTAAAATCGGCATGAATATGTAAAATTCATGATTATAGGGCATTTTGTTCATTGAGAACTGATTGGATTATTGATGGCTGCAATCTCATGAGAGTTACAGACCCATATATACTGCATATATATCATGCTATTTATATTTTTAAGTGCCCCTCCAATGTAAGTGCAATAGCAGGAGTGCTTTCAACTTGCTGAAGGGAACCATTTTCGCTGCTGCCCCTGCTGTGGAAGTCTGTGCTAACCACTGGCTTTTAGTGTGAACGGGCATATGATACTTAATTTCTGAATGAAATCTTATAGGTGTTGTATGTCATTTTCTACTGCAATAGCATTCAGAAAATATCCATTTTAGTTGGATTTTTTTTCAGTCAAGCAAAAGAAACTGATGTGGTTTCTGTCTGTCTATTATTCAATGCAATCATAAGCAGCTCATGCATAGGAAGCAGGAAACTGAGGGTATGGTGGCTGAAGCAGATCACTTATGTTTAACATAATACTCGGCTACATCATCGGTTGTCAGAAAGTTTGTGATATGAGAATAGGCTTTTAACAAAGAGGGGGTGTGTCTAATTAAGAAGCTGCGGAAAGACATCACCTTTGCCTCGTGGCAACTGTAAACAAGGCATTTAAAGCATAGGTCTCGAAATTGATTCCCGGAGGATTGCAGCTCTGCACAGTTTTGCTCTAACCCTAATCAAACACAGCTGATCCAACTAATCAAGGTGTTCAAGAGCTTAACCTTGCAGAGCTGTGGCCCTCCAGGAATTGAGTTTGAGACCTATGATTTAAAGCAGGGGTGTCCAAACTCAGTCCTGGAGGGCCGGTGTCCTGGGGAGTTTAGCTCCAACCCTAATCAAACACACCGGAACCAGCTAATCAAGCTCTTACTAGATATACTAGAAACATCCTGGATGGTGTGTTGAAGCAAGTTGGAGCTAAACTCAGCAGGACACCGGCCCTCCAGGTCCGAGCTTGGACACCCCTGATTAAAAGGCACATTTAAACCAAAAATTATAACTTAGGTTAGCCTCATGCTGTTTCAAACCTGTATGACTGTTTCTTTATTTTAACACACAGCAAACATTTTGAAATATAGTAACAAGTTTGATTCCAATTAACCAATTTGGAACAAAGGTAAGTGATGTAAATGATCAGAACTGAACTGTATCTTTTAATAACTACACCTTAGTTGTTTTGGATTCACTTGGTAGTACTAGCAAAGACTAAGCAATACACAAGATATGTCATCCGCACAGTTTTGAATGGGGTAAACGGAATGGTCAACATGGTCACTCTAGGGAAGAAAGCCCCACCTTCTAGTAAAGGAGGCAATAATCAATGGCTATAGACTGACGAGGGGCTCGTTCCAGCCGTTTGTTCTTTACAGAAGCCTTTGAAGCTTAATTGTTATGAACCCTCTGGGGTCCTCAAACATGCTGGAATCTCAACAAGTACTTTCCTAACAGACAATAGAAATGCATCTGCATAAAGCTTGAAAGCTCTACTTTTAAATGAACCAACTACACTTGAAAATAAAAGGTTCTGTAGTTCTGTAATCTGTCTAAAACAAACACAAGTCTTCTCGTCTGACCTCTTAATTTTAAATGAATTCCAACCTTCGGCATTCAAATGTAAATTACACAATGTCAACCACTTGAACGCCCACAAATATGTAAACAAAGATGTTGTGATTTTGGGAGACTATCTGCAGTCAGAAATAATCTAGAAATTACCTCAAAAGAGCAGTGCAATCAGACATGACTTTATTCAGAGGATGACATTGTGTAACACGCAAGTTACTGATTTTAATTACACAGTTTGACTGACAGGATATCTAATCGAAACCTACAGAAACAACTATAAAAGAGTTTATTTATTTGGATGCACATCTAAATTAGCTTGTGCTAACTCAAAAAGTATATGTTTTCTGTTATGATATTGAAAGTTTAAAGTCAAGATTTAAAATTCAGTTTTTGTTACATTCTGTAACGAACATAGCAGACACTCATTTATTCCACCACCAGAGGGATATTAACCCCGGAATATTCCCACCCCAAAATATTAACTGTGTGTTTCCTTTGTGGTAGTTCCGGTTACCACCGCTTATCAATTCCCTGTGTAGACATTCTTGTTGCGAAGTATAGACTTTTTCCACATTTCTGGGTTTCTCAGTAGCAAAAGCCGTCATAGTTGGAAAAACTTAGAGCGCAGTGAATGGGAGAATACAACAAATATTTTTTTTACAATTTTATTTGCTCAAAAAATAAACATTTATAGATTTAAAAATATATACATATTAAAAACTTTTAAGGATTTAAGATGCTTTAAGGCCATTAAACGCATCTTAAAAGGCTTATGAAAAGGGTTCATTGCCAGTTTACATCCTTACTGAGCATTTCTTTTTTTATTGTGTTTGCCTCATTGTTAAGATCTATTGCCTGCCTGTTAACCTGGTTCTTTAGATTTTGGAATCAGTTTGTTTCATTGTGTTGGACTGCCTTAACATTTGTATTAACCTTGCCCTTTTCAGACTGAGCCTCTGCCTGTACTTTGTATAGTTGTTTGCTCATTAAAACCTCCAGCATATGGATTTACATCATATTAATGTCTTTGCCGATGGCTCCCTTACACATCTCATTGGTAATTCCAAATACGAAATTTAATTGTGAGTTTGGCAAACAGTTTTGGAGAATTTTATGTTTTCCGATTCAATAGGATGGAAAATTGTATTTGCATGTCTGAGAAGTATTTCAAAGATGTCCGCCGAATGAAATGACTTGCCTTAAATGAACTTTGGTACTATTAAAATTATGAACACTGGTGTACTTAGATTCAACAAATAAGCTTCTCTAGTCGTGTTACACTAATATTCAAGCCATCGTGTTAAACAAATACACCAATTTTTACAAAATTCAATGGATTTTTTTTTAGACAGAGAATATTCTATACAACCCATTTAAGTGCATACCATTGGATGGCTTATCACATATTAATGTATAAAGAATTAAACACAGTAAACATTTTAGCAAAAAAAGCTAACAGAACATGGTATTCAGTAGCCGAAAATTTGGACACAATCATCCGGTCAATGCCAGGCAGCTTACGCCGTGTTAGCAACAAAGAGAGAGACACACATACTCGCAAATCTCCTGCTGAGACAGAGCAACGCAAAAAGAAAACTCCATCCTTATCAATCCCTTACAGCTTGACTGCCTCTTTTCCACTGCGGTTGGTATTATACCCAAACAAGAGGAATCTTACACGGGCCAGATGCAAGGAGAAAAAGTCTACACAGCTAATCGGAGTAAGCAACCTGCTCAAGTGTTACGTAAGCCGTCGTCTTTCATCGCAGGTGAAAGGTGTTCCATCAAACCTGGCTGCGAACACCACGGGATGCTTTTATTTTGGGTCAAAAGTTGTCACGGCTCTTTATGCGCCCCACCTGACATTTGCAACTGCCCCGCAAACACCTGCTCCAACAACTGCCACCTGCTAATAGGGGATTCAATTAAAAACGAACACAAACCGAGCCCTGAAAAAGAGTGCCGCAGTGCAATTTTGTCATATTTTTATAGCATGCACGGTGATGGATATGGTAGCCTGAGGACGGCCGATTTCTAACTGATTGCAATGACCTGCCAAAATCTGGGAGTCGGGACGCTTTTTAAGTGTGAAAAATCACTTTGGGTGAGCCTGGACGCATTACACATGCACTGGTCTATAACTTTCAGGCTGATCGACTTTAATGCTAATCGCTGACGGAAAGTGTACAATCATCTTAACAGCCAATCAGTCAGGGCCATGGGGACAGAGTGATGAATATTCATGAGGAGAATCAATGGGCAGTGATGGGCACTGGAGAGAGAGTGAAGGGGGTGGAGAGATACAGAGCAGATTAGGGTAAATGAGGGAGTCTCTGTCAGAGCTGATTATAGGTTTGTTTCTGAACGTGAACACTTACCTCACGCCACTGCTTAGACTCTGCTCCCTGAGTATATAGAATACACACTGAGAACAGAAGAGAAAGGGGGCAGAAATCAGCATCAATTATATTTTAGGAAACATCTTTTAGATAGTACAAACATTTAAATTCAAAGCCAACTCCTAATCTAATACTGATATAATGAAAAAAGATAAGTTAATTAAATCCCTGGAAAAATAAATAAATAAGTCTCAACGTCTTAAAGGTTTTTTATAGGCAAAAATGGGATTAAATTAAGGATGGATAAAGTAGTCTGCTTACATTTCTCTCATTAGAAATTCAAATTATAAAGCCCTGTAATTTATAATTTCCCACACTGTAAAACCCAAAAACTTAAGGTAACTCAAACCATTTGAGGAAACCGATTTCAACAAACCAATTGAGTTTAAAAACTAATCCAAATAAGTACTGTGAACCTAATCCATTTGAGTAAAAAAAAAGCAGTTTGAGCACAGTAAAGCCCAAAAAATGAAGAGAATTCAAACCAACTGAGTACAGTAAAACTCAGTAAGTTAAGTCAACTCAAACCGTTTAAGGAAACCGATTGCAAAAAACCTTTAGAAACAAATTAAGTTAAAAACAAATTTACTCCATGAGTAATGTGAACTTGCTCCATTTAAGTTGAAGTAATGTTCATTACCTTCCACACTGAGTTCAAAACTCTTTTCAAATGAACAGAATTAACTTTCAGTCAATTAGAGTTAACTACACTCATTTCATTTGATACAGCTGACAGCTGGGTTTTACAGTGCATTGCTTGTATAAAATTTCTAATTTAAACCAGAAATGTTAGAAAGGTATATTACCTGTTTATTATAGAAAACAATCTTCACTTTACTACAGAAAAATTTCATAATTTCCTATTTTACCTATTTTCAGAAGAAATCTTAATAGTTCTTCCAAATCATTTGGCCTATGCAGTTTTTTATTATTTTATAATTTAGTTCAACAAAGTTATGAACACTCTGCCCTCATCTAATATAATATCACATTTTGATGTATAAATATTTGTAATTTATTCCTTCAAAATGAATAATGTTACGGATGACCTGTTTCATAAAAAACATATTGCCTCATATATCACATTTTTGCTTATATATATTTTTAATTATTCAAAAATGCATCTATGGTTCACTCAGAAACTGTTTATATTCTATTCCTCTATGTGTACAAACAAATCTGAATTTCAGAGTGAATCATAACTAAATATTTGAAGCAAGTAAAATATAATATAATATAATATAATATAATATAATATAATATAATATAATATAATATAATATAATATAATATAATATAATATAATTTCTTTTCGGCTTAGTCCCTTTATTCATTAGGGGTCGCCACAGCGCAATGAACTGCCAACTTATCCCGCATATGTTTTACACAGCGGATGCCCTTCCAGCTGCAACCAATCACAAGGAAACATTCATACACACTCATTCACATATGCTTGCTTTTAGAATTTGACAATGTTAAACAACCAATATGAACCTATTAGGCTTTCATTAAAAATTGCACATTTTTTATATCTTTAACATAAAATTTCCCTGAAGAAAAGGCAACTATTAAGCAATCAAAGTCGTACTCGCGAAGATTAAAAATGCAATAAAGGCCATGCTATTTGACCCATTGCTCTGTATTTCATAATCGCATGTCTTCAGCGAGAGATTTACTGTACACGGGTCTAAATGTCTCCATGACTCAAGAAGCATTTGTATTCTGGAGGCCGAGTTCATGCTCTGCATATATTAAGCGTTTCTGCATTTTTGTTGATAGTGAGGAAAAGCTGTCACATTGTGATGCAAATTCTATGCATGCATTTTCGGCAACTTGGAGAAATGGCAGAGTAGACAAATTACAGGCAAAGTGTGGAGAGCAGAAGAAACTCAGAGAGGTGTGTGGAAGAGACCGAACCTGAGAACAACATAGTGTTCGTGAGTTACAAAGCCCGAGGACTAACTCTGTATATGCGAACACGTGTAGAAAATAGATTTTAAAGAGATTTTGGCTTCAAAAATAAATGCTTCAGCCATGAAAAAGAGAGATACTTACAAGGATCCGACTTGGAGAATGTGTCACGATCTAACAGGTTTCTGGGGAAACAGGAAGAACAAAGAAAGAGCTGATAAATTAGGTCAATTCGGTCAAACAGTTCAGGCATAAAATGACACAAAGGCCTCACAAATAAACCTGATGGAGCTCTCATTTACATCTTTTTTTCAGACCCCATCCATTTCCTTCCATTAGCAGCCACAAAAAGAGCTCTTGACATGAGATTTCGCCTCTAAGTGTTTTTGAAGATGCACCTCTATCATTCTTATAATGAAGCAAAGGCAGTGACATTACAGTTTTTACACACGTATTGTTCTCCAGTCACTCTGAAAATTCAGTAGTCCATTTGAAAGAATAAGGAACAGTATTTGGCTGCAGGAATAAGAGCAGAGAAAAAACTGAACAAAAAGAACAGTTTTATATACAGTGCTACACGCATTTACATACATTTTTGGGAGGCAAATTGAACCTCAATTCTAAATTTGGCAGCCTGTGCAGAAAGCCAAACAGAATGTAAAATTGACACTTACTGACTAAAAAAAAGAGAAAAAGGAATTTTGTCTTTAAATAAACCAAATATACAATAACTCTAATACCCACAAAGCACAGGGCATCAGTAATGGGAAAAATGCCGCTACTTTTTTTAGTAATGAGTAATCAAATGAATGACTGTTTCTCTCGTTACAACGCCATTACCGTTACTGACAATATTGCAAATGTGAGTTACTATAATTGAGAACACTACAGCAGTTTTCATCCAAACAGCATTTCTCTTAACCACAGAACCAATCTCTTTCTCAGGGGTTTGTGTGTGTTTTTGGGGCTGGGGCAGGACACATAACCAACCAGTGATGATCATAGGTGTGTCTGTGAACGTGATGTGACTGAGAACATGATGATTGGCTTAGATAGAGTCCATTTCCATCTTTTTACAAGGTAGCTCTTGCAAACTGGAAATATATTGATCAGATATGGCAGGTGATTTTTACTTTATTAGCCTACATATCAGTTTTATTTGCACTTTACAGTGTATATTATTAATATTACTATTATTATTGTGTATTTTTGGTATATTGTTCAGTATTATATTGAGCACTTCTTGTTAAACTGTTTACTTTTGTGAGCAAGAAAATACTTCAAGCAGGCTACAGTAGGTTATGTCTACCAGTTGTGTGACAGTTTTATAATTTTCATTTACATAATTCATATACAAAGAGAGTATGTACTGTATGTGTCATATTATTATTTGTTTATTTTTGGTACATTTCTTAAGAAGAAGAATTTATATTAAGATTTGTTTATTTACAATTCTTGTGAAGTGCAAGAAATACTTATAGTTCAAAACCATCAATAATGTTTTATTGTGCTACTATAATGATAATATTTAGAGTGATATGCTGAATTTGATGGTTGTCTCTCAAATTATCCTAGAACAACATTAAAATAGTGTAGATTAGTGTACAATGTTTTATATTTATTTTATAGTCATTTGACAAATTTAGTTTTTTTTTTTCTTAAAGTAACACAATAGTTACTTTCCCTGGTAATTAGTTACTTTTTTTATCATTTAACTTAGTTACTAACTCGGTTATTCTAATTACTCTTTTTAAGAAACATGCCCAAAACTGCTGGGCATAGTCCCATTCAAGACCCCTTCCAGTCTTAGCAGTAATATTCCATAAATAAAAACATTTTCTCCATGTTTTCAAAAATACCTCATTATATTTTAAAAACCGACCTGTTGGTCTTCCTTATAATAATGTAATAAACTGCATCATACTTTTTTTTTCTTTAACAACTTTATACTTCTCACTTGACTTTAATTTCAATTTTGCTTTATGGGATTGAAGTTTTTTTTTTATTAAATCTGTTAAATACACAGTATTTTTGCATTATTATCCTATACTATGCTTCAATTAAATGTTTGCTAGCTGGTTGATTTGATTAACAGGTTATAACACTTTACATAATCATTTTGGGAAATATATTTGGAATAAGCATGGTTAAAAAATAAACTGCTACTAATGCAAACTATTGGATTAGAGTATAACAAGCTTGTTTCACTCGCAAACTTTTAATCAAAATGATATTGACTTTATTTTCATGAGTGCAAAAAAATCAAAGAGTAAATATCTATTGGGATTAATTTTTTTTTCCTGTGAAGAATCCAGAAAAGACTGCAACATATCTGCATTACTGAAAGAAATCTTAGGCAATCTGAAAAACCTGATTCAACTTTGTCAAGAATTCAGATTTGACTGTTTATAAAGTTTACTTATCATTTATCAGGAAATAAAATCAAGTGTACTTGTATAGTACAAGCAATCAATTCATATATAGGCCAGGGGCCGGTTGCACCAGCAGGGCATAAGTTAAAACGTTTCCTAGTTGTGGCATAAAGGGACGCTAAATTACAACTTACACATGACTAAATATTTTTGTGTGGCACCACTAAACTTAGTTTAAACGCGACACTGGGTTCCAACTGAATATTTACGGCAGCCTCCTTCCATGTATAACAGTAGAAAAGAGATGATGGAGAGATTAGTTTACATTGAGGAGCCCACGACGATAATGAAGAATGTTCTCCCACTACTCACAGCTTTATGTTCCTCCTAAATCCTGAGTTTTTCTCCCCGTTCTTTTCTCTTTCATGTGTAGTATATAAAAAATATCAAGTTTATTGTTTTGATTACGTCATGTGTATTTTGTGTACATTCACAGCTCATGATGCTGGTATGTGCATCATCTTTTCTTAGTGACTGAATGCAATGCGAAATACTATAAAAATGCAATTTGTCATTTCAATATCAAATGACAGTTATACATGCATATACTGTATATAGTTGCAGAATTGTAAAGCAGTGTAACAATTTAAATGCTTCTCATTGGATTGGATCTCATTATTCAATGCCACTACGCATCATTTCTACGGAGAGATTACGACCCACTGTCTACACTTTACCTTAAGAACATGTGGTGCAACTGAAAATGGAAAAGATTTTGTTACAAACTAGCTAGTAGTTACTAAGCCTCCAAAGTGTGGACTCTGTGTTAAAACTTACAAACAGCACCTGGATCCTTATGTGCACTAAATAAACAAACCATCAATAATCATTATATTTAACTGGTTAATCTTCTTAAAAAGGCTGTCATTTCATATCATTCAATTATTTTTCTCTTATATTGCTGCATCACAGATTTTAAATTGGGATGTCATGTGCAAAAGCATGAATTGGGTTTTAGCTGAACAAGCTGTGAGAGTTAATGATTTGGAGCTTAGATTTTTATAGCGATTTCGTGGTTGGGTCTTCCTAGGGAATAATGTAAAAAGTACCAATTAGACTCCAGGTAGTGGTCCATCATGAAGTGTAAAATTAGTCTGACCATCTCCTGATTAAAGCAGCTTGGTTAAAATTATAAAGTGAAGCAAGTGATTCTCAGTGTGCCACTGTGATTTCACATATAGATCCTAAATTGAAGTGAATGAGAAATTCTGATTCAAAATAAAGATACACATTCTTTGTTCATTGATATCACACAAAAAGTACACATTTACAAAGAACGTGTATCAGTTGCATGTTCAGTATCAGTAACAGGGCTGCACAATATATTGTTTCAGCATTGATATCGCAATGTGCGCATCTGCAAAAGTCACATCGCCAGATATTCAATGCTGAGTCTGATTTATAGTTGACTAGCAGCTACAGAATTGTATTTAATTACTGCAATAATATTGGATTTATTTGATTTATGAAAAAAAAACCTACTTTAGAATTTTTGTCTACATCTAGTCCGATTTTCTGGTCTAAATATCTACATTTCAAAGTGAAAGCATGTTTATTTTACTTGTTTTTAAGGGAAAAAGTTTATATTTTCATTAATTTCTTCTGAAGTTGAAAACTAAACTATTTTCTTACTTGATTTAAGCATTTTTAGATATTTGGACTATAAACTACACAAAGCAAAGTAAGAAAAGCATTTTTTAGCATTGTGACTTCATTTTCTGTACCTGAATACTGTTAGACTATACCCAGAAACTGTCAAAGGCTACGTGTAAACGGCCCAAACCGCATGGAATCTGATCTTCTTAATTCAGATTTGTGCCATATGTAGTATTAAATCAGACGCTGATCTGATATTTTGCAATGCAACCGCAGTGTGAACAGTAATTTAGGATTTCATGTGACTTTTACATAATCTTTGAGCGACATGCGTCCTCATTCTTTGCTTCAAACATCTACTTCTTAGCTGCATTGTAAAATGGCACACATGACAATTACTTTACCACAGAAAGTTGGTTGTTCATTTTGAAAAAACAAATTGAAGGCAAAACTGGTGCTTGTTAAACAATCTGGTTAATGATTTGGTTGAACGCGAAGCTGAAGAGAGTTGGGGGTGTTGCGAACAGGGGATCCATGCACTTTCATTTTAAGAGGCAGCTTTCTCTCTGAGTGAAAAAGGGCAGGTGCTTAAGCACCAAAACCCCCCTTCTTCACTTGCCTGTTTTTTATAATAAAGTAAAATAAAATCTGCAAACCGGGATACTATGAACCAACTTCACAGTTCAGTCTGCGGCTGCTCATTAACCCTTAATGAGTTCACTACACCAGTGGTTAGAAAGACGCGCACCGCAGTTGTCATAAATCACAAATGAACAGTGTTTTTAATCACAAGTGACTTATTTTAGGTTTTAAATGGCGAAATACACATTAGTAGTAGTAGAACAACTCTTAACAGTTCATGAAATACACCACGGTTGTCTGTGAAAAGGGCAATAATCATATTAAGCATAATCTGACAACGTGCTTAATACAGAACACACTGTGTGCATAATTAGACAGTTTGTGCTGTCCGTAACTGTACTTTCAAGAGTTCACACTTAGATAATGCTCGACTTTGATAGCAGGTTTGGCATGCTGCCCCGGGAAAGAACCCTGAGATCGGAGATAGATGAGGACCATGATCTGTACACACTGTGAATCTGATATTGGCCACATTTATTACAACAATGTGAGCAGACATGCAAAAAAAATCTGAA